TTTGCCTCTGCTCTGGGAGATAATTGAATTACTTCCCAATTATCTCCCGAGCAGAGGGGAGGAAACTGTGATGCATACTGGGAATATTAGGGGGATGTATGTCCAGAATGTCCCATGTCCTTCTGTCATTTCAGTCTCCCCTAGGGGAGTGTCCACCAAGTGGGAGACCTGCATAAATACGGGCAGGTAGCCCACAGTAAACTCAGTTTCATGTTTTACCCTCAAAGCGGAGCTTGGTCTCGTTATTGGGGGGATTTTATTACCGGCGACAAGAGACTGCTTACTGGAATTATTGGCCGCTTGGAAGATATTGGCGTTCGGCTAATATTGGCAGTTCGTGTATTTGGAGCTCGTGAAGGGAAAGAGCCGTACAGGTACCGTTCGGGAGTTTGGAGTGTTCCCTAGCTGGCGGTTCGCATGGTTATACTGCATACGCTACCAGACCACATTATTGCGAACGGGGAGCATTCACTAAACGGCGGTTTGTACATTTATTACTGGAGGTACCGTAACAGTGTGTTACTCGGAGTGTGTGTATGTGTATTACTCTTAGTGTGTGTATGTGTGTTACTTGGCGTGTGTATGTGTGTATTACTCTTAGTGTGTGTATGTGTGTTACTCGGAAGGAGTGTTTGTGTGTTACTCTTAGTGTGTGTATGTATGTGTATTACTTTTAGTGTGTGTATGTGTGTTACTCTTAGTGTGTATGTGTGTTACTTGGCGTGTGTATGTGTGTATTACTCTTGATGTGTGTATGTGTGTTACTCTTAGTGTGTGTATGTGTGTTACTCGGAAGGAGTGTTTGTGTGTTACTCTTAGAGTGTGTATGTATGTTACTCTTAGTGTGTATGTGTGTTACTTGGCGTGTGTATGTGTGTATTACTCTTGATGTGTGTTACTCTTAGTGTGTGTGTGTGTGTGTGTGTTACTTGGCGTGTGTCTATGTATGTGTATTACTTTTAGTGTGTGTATGTGTGTTACTCTTAGTGTGTATGTGTGTTACTCGGAGTGTGTGTATGTGTATGTGTGTTACTCTTACAGGGAGTGCAGAATTATTAGGCAAGTTGTATTTTTGAGGATTAATTTTATTATTGAACAACAACCATGTTCTCAATGAACCCAAAAAACTCATTAATATCAAAGCTGAATATTTTTGGAAGTAGTTTTTAGTTTGTTTTTAGTTTTAGCTATGTTAGGGGGATATCTGTGTGTGCAGGTGACTATTACTGTGCATAATTATTAGGCAACTTAACAAAAAACAAATATATACCCATTTCAATTATTTATTATTACCAGTGAAACCAATATAACATCTCAACATTCACAAATATACATTTCTGACATTCAAAAACAAAACAAAAACAAATCAGTGACCAATATAGCCTCCTTTCTTTGCAAGGACACTCAAAAGCCTGCCATCCATGGATTCTGTCAGTGTTTTGATCTGTTCACCATCAACATTGCGTGCAGCAGCAACCACAGCCTCCCAGACACTGTTCAGAGAGGTGTACTGTTTTCCCTCCTTGTAAATCTCACATTTGATGATGGACCACAGGTTCTCAATGGGGTTCAGATCAGGTGAACAAGGAGGCCATGTCATTAGATTTTCTTCTTTTATACCCTTTCTTGCCAGCCACGCTGTGGAGTACTTGGACGCGTGTGATGGAGCATTGTCCTGCATGAAAATCATGTTTTTCTTGAAGGATGCAGACTTCTTCCTGTACCACTGCTTGAAGAAGGTGTCTTCCAGGAACTGGCAGTAGGACTGGGAGTTGAGCTTGACTCCATCCTCAACCCGAAAAGGCCCCACAAGCTCATCTTTGATGATACCAGCCCAAACCAGTACTCCACCTCCACCTTGCTGGCGTCTGAGTCGGACTGGAGCTCTCTGCCCTTTACCAATCCAGCCACGGGCCCATCCATCTGGCCCATCAAGACTCACTCTCATTTCATCAGTCCATAAAACCTTAGAAAAATCAGTCTTGAGATATTTCTTGGCCCAGTCTTGACGTTTCAGCTTGTGTGTCTTGTTCAGTGGTGGTCGTCTTTCAGCCTTTCTTACCTTGGCCATGTCTCTGAGTATTGCACACCTTGTGCTTTTGGGCACTCCAGTGATGTTGCAGCTCTGAAATATGGCCAAACTGGTGGCAAGTGGCATCGTGGCAGCTGCACGCTTGACTTTTCTCAGTTCATGGGCAGTTATTTTGCGCCTTGGTTTTTCCACACGCTTCTTGCGACCCTGTTGACTATTTTGAATGAAACGCTTGATTGTTCGATGATCACGCTTCAGAAGCTTTGCAATTTTAAGAGTGCTGCATCCCTCTGCAAGATATCTCACTATTTTTGACTTTTCTGAGCCTGTCAAGTCCTTCTTTTGACCCATTTTGCCAAAGGAAAGGAAGTTGCCTAATAATTATGCACACCTGATATAGGGTGTTGATGTCATTAGACCACACCCCTTCTCATTACAGAGATGCACATCACCTAATATGCTTAATTGGTAGTAGGCTTTCGAGCCTATACAGCTTGGAGTAAGACAACATGCATAAAGAGGATGATGTGGTCAAAATACTCATTTGCCTAATAATTCTGCACTCCCTGTAGTGTGTATGTGTGTTACTCAGAATGAGTGTATGTGGGTTACTCTTAGTGTATGTGTGTGTATGTGTATTACTCATAGTGTATGTATGTGTGTTTCTCAGAGTATGTGTATTACTCTTAGTGTGTGTGTGTGTGTTACTCTTAGTGTGTATGTGTGTTACTCTTAGTGTGTATGTATGTTATTCGGAGTGTGTATGTGTATTACTCTTAGTGTGTATGTATGTGTGTTACTCGGAGTGTGTGTATGTGTGTTATTCGGAGTGTGTGTATGTGTATTACTCTTAGTGTGTATGTGTTGTAACGGCACCCTCAGCATAAAAGGGTTAAACCGCCGTTTAGAAGATCTTCCCTTTCCAGAGATACAGGCACAGCTACTGCAGAACACCAAACTCCTGAACTGCATATAAGGGAATGCTCCAAACTCCCGAACTACATACAAAATAGCACTCCAAACTCCCGAACTGGAACCTCACGAATAGCTGCTAGCAGACGAATAGGAAAAGCACCCAAGCAGCTTACACTCCTAGCAATCAGTCTCTATCAGCATACAGTAAATCCGCCCCAAAGACGAGACAAGGCTCTGTGTTGAGGGTCAAGCAGTGGTCTGGTTTAATGAGGGCTACCTGCCCAGTATTTATGCAGGTCTCCCACCTGGTGGACACTCCCCCAGGGGACCAAATGGGAGACTGTAACAAAGGACAGACAAGTATCAATTTAGGACATTACAATATATTCCCACAATGCATCCTGGCTTCCTCCCCTCTGCCCTGGAGATAATTGAGAAGTAATTCAATTATCTCCCAGGACAAAGGCAAATCGCCATTATGCACGTGAGGATACCAATATAGGAATTACTGTTAAAATCCCCCATGTTAAAAAGGTTACAATAAATATATACATTTAACATATCCCCAGATAGCTCAGGTCTGAGCGCACATTATTAAGCAAATGGCGCTCAGACCACACGAATACAGTTTAATCGCCATGGAGCCAAAGTCTTTAATTCCACGAACAGGCTCCATGGCATGCTATCTAGGTATTTTTACACCGAATACATTGCAACACTAAAAGTTCCGAATGCTCCGTTGTTCGGTTCCCGAATGGGTTTGCAGACCTCCAGCCTCAGCGGTGTCCTGCCGCTGGGTAGAACAAGCGCTGACTACCCGGGGGGCTTCCATAACACCGCCATCGTGTGGCGGCTAGGTGTAACCGCGACCACCCAGTAATTGTCAATTAAGCTGCGGTTAACCGCAGCTTCTGTGAGGTAAATTGCCGACACACTCCAGCTCCCAGGTGGTCCAGTCATTCGCGCGTTAGTTCGGTAGATTGAATCTACCGACCGCCGGGCAGAAAGGCACGAATAAGCCTTTTCTGCAGGGGAAAAATAAGTCTTTTAACATGGGGCCATAATCTAAAGGCAACAGGCGAGCAATGCAATGCAATGTGGCGAGATTGCTCTCGTCACATGTGTGTTACTCGGAGTGTGCATGTGTGATGGTCACATTTAGGGCTATTTATTAAAGAGAGAAGCTAAGGCTGATGTCCATCCCCAGCTGTGGGCTTTGGGTGGGATTATTAATGCCGTAATGGAGGGATGGACATGTCACTGTCTACCTCCCAGATCAGAATGCCATCCCCCCTCCTGGTAGGTAGGGGTCCCGAAGCCCCTAGCCACACACTCTGTAACGGAGTTCCCCGTACTCCGACCGAGTACCCACCGTTGATGGACGCTTCCTAGCTTGCGCCGAGGACCACAAGCACTGCACCGGACACCACAACCACCGCAGACTCCACAACCGCCGTAGCTTAACTGGAGTCTCGCCGTCTTCTGTCCAACCTGGATCAGCTTCTGTCCTCCAGGACCGTGTGGGGAAGACCTCTCCTCCAGGAGAGCGTAACAGGAACAGCTCTTAAAAGAGCTAAGTGATTAAAAGCTCAAGGGAGTACGCAGAGCATAGCAATCCCCAGTGTGATTATAGCAGTTCCCTCCAATAACGAGACAAGGCTACGTATTGAGGCTCAAGAAGATCTGTATTACTTGGCACCAAAGGGCCTTCTTTTATACAGGTTTTCCAAATACAGTACCGCCTACAGGGTTTTGTAAAATAACCAATAAAGCACGTAGCATAGAGTAAAACCATACCCATTCACTCCCATAAAATCCTCCCCTCTGCCTGTGATATAATTATGGTACACAATGCTTAACATAATTAACACAGGCAGGAAAAAATACAGTTTTTATACATGTACTATAACTTTAAAACCATACTGTGGCAAACCTAGCCACTTTAAGATTTACTGTATAGCATCAGAAGGTTGTCTGCTTTTATTGTATATAAGGATGTATTTGTGTGTGTTTGCAATAAAGAGTATTCGTATGCTAACGTCCGAAAGCGGCTAGCATTCATATGGTAATTTCACGAACAGTGACTTTAGACACTGTTCGTGAAACGAATAAGGTACCAAACGGGAGCCCACACACAGAGGGTCGTGTGGCTCCCATTAACCGATTGCAAAATTGTTGTAATCGGTAGTTAATTGCTTTCCTAGGTGGCCGTCGTTCGGCTACCGACCACGCGGCGGTCGGCCATCTTGGATCCTTTGTTAGCCCAGAGGTGTTTGGTCGTCGAGCGCCTGGAACTAAAATCGGCTACTCGACGGCGCAAACACCGCTGGACTTCCAGGCTGTTCGGGAGCCCCGGTCTTTCGGTATTGGGATCCCAATAGGTATTCGGTACTTTTAGGAGAATGTGATATAAAGGTATGTTTCGTGTGGCGTTCGGTTATTTAGGCTGGGATCTGAGTGGTACTTTCACAAAGTGTGCACTCAGACCCCAGCTATCTACCGAACGGTCATTTAAGGGAATCACACGAATAATATTAAAGTTATTGAATTTTGTGTTAAAGGACCACTCTAGGCAACCAGACCACTTCAGCTTAATGAAGTGGTCTGGGTGCCAGGTCCAGCTAGGATTAACCCATTTTTTCATAAACATAGCAGTTTCAGCCGCATGGGAGGAGAAGAGGAGGATCGGAGGAGGAGAGCTCTCCGCCCAGCGCTGGAAAAAGGTACGTTTTAACCCCTTTCCCCCTTCCAGAGCCGGGCGGGAGGGGGACCCTGAGGGTGGGGGCACCCTCAGGGCACTATAGTGCCAGGAAAACAAGTGTTTTCCTGGCACTATAGTGGTCCTTTAAAACCCGGTTGTGCTGTACGGAGGGATAATCCACTTAACAGGATATTCTAGTGGGAGTATCCCTCACGTACAGCAGTGCATGGTGGGAGAAATGCTCTGTATATTCAGTTCCCCATGTAGTCCTCTACTGTAACACCCCTGTAAAGTGATTAAGTAAACCCCTTGCATGGGGAATCACAAAAATACTGGAGCTTGTGAAGAAAACTGTCAGTTGACTCCCAGAACTGTGTTTCGTCCGGTTACTGGGGGATTTGGGATATTGCCTTCTTTTCCAGCGCTTTACTTTGGATTACCTTCTATACCAGCGGA